TCTCTGGTGGAAAAGTAGCTGATGCCAGTATCCCCATGCAATTGCAGCCTTCCAGTTGTAGAATAAACCCAGGAACTATTTTTCTCTGGTTATGATTAAGTCAGTATCTCTCTCGTTGCAGGATTTTATCATTTGTGTTGAGATGTTCCTGGCGGCTATTGCGCATCACTACAGTTTTTCCTATAAACCTTATGTTCAAGAAGCTGAAGAAGGGTCATGCTTCGACTCTTTTCTTGCAATGTGGGACATTTCTGATATAAGGGCAGATATATCAGAACAGGTTCGAAATGTTGGTAAGTAACAGGCAGATTGTATCATTTGTTAACAGCATATGTATTTCCAGCTTCATTTTACACTATTACATGCCTCCATAGTACCTTGAGAACATTCCATACCAAATTAGCAGCAGCTGCATCCCTAAAGGATTTCATGGTTTATCTGGCACTTTGCTCTCTTCCAGTACTCCTGACTGGTTTAGAATCTAGTTTTCAATTTTTGTTTTAAATAGATGGATCTCAAGGTAAGTTTCAGGTGTGTTAGGTAGAAGAGAGCGATGGCCTTTTTGGTTTCAGGGTTTTTTTTCTTTGTTTGTTTGTTTGGAGTGGAAATCACAGAAACACATCCTTTTATTTATTAAAGCTAATAATGCGTATGTAAAACTGTTGTAAAACAAAGACTCATCTTCTCATTTAACATGCCTGTTTTAGAGTTGATGTGTTCAAAGACCTCGGTATAGTGCTGGAAGTATTAAAAAATATTTTCATCTGGCATAATTCTAGGAAGGACGGTTCTGGGCCAGCCAAGGAAAATGTTTTTTCCTGAGGATCATGAACAAAATGAGCATACAAGTTTACTATCTTCATCTACTCAAGACCCAACTTCTGATGCTTCTTCAATGCCATCTTCACCCATGGGTCATTATCAGGGGTTTGGACACACTGTGACACCTCTCACAACACCAACAGCAGCCCCAGCCATTGATGGTATTTATAACACTTCTGCTACTAGAGATGCTGAGGAATCACCAAAACTAGAGCACAATTCATCAGAGAAAGCTTTGGATAAAAGTTAGATTTACCTTTTCTTTGAATGCGTCAAGGAGTCTGTTATATGCTTGCCACACATGTTCTGTTAACATGTACTATTAGTGATGAAAGTTGAAGAGCTTGGAAAAGTACTGCACAGACAGGAAGAGGATATGGCTGTAACTGATACCTGAATTCTGAATCTATAATGGATGCGAGTATCTGTGAGTACCCCATGAATACAAAACACGCACATCGTAAAAGTTTCTGCATAAATTTAAGAATCGACTCCTTAAACTGCTGAACACTTACACATCGTGTCAAAATTACACCGACTTTTATTAATACAAAAGAAACATTTCAAAAAATACTCTGCTTTTCTAAAGATGAAATGTAAGTACTGCTAGCAATGGGAAAACCTAATTTCAAGAATGTAATTTAAGGAGGGCAGTAGCAAAAAGTGTTTGTATTAGTTTTGATTGTCTTTTTAATGATGATAACTGAATGGACTGTGGACAAAATCGTAACTTCTGTACAGATGCAATCTTCTTCCCTTGCCTGCATAGCTAAATAAAACCCCTTCATGAAGATAATTATTACACAGCATCAGTAAAGAATCTGTACAAAGAAAACATTCCCTATGGGCCTCGCTATAAAATTCCATGCCCAGAACATATGGTTAGCATATCTGTTGTCCTTGTAGCTCATAATTTGTAAGTCTTTTGCATTCAGAAGAGACAGCCAGGATGATAGGTTTTCAGTTCATACCTTACACTTGACTACTTTTTTTCCTGTCCTTCAAAAAGAATAATGGTTCCTACCATAAAGTACATGGAGGGGGGGGAATAAAGGATGTCAAAAAGGAAGCAGAAAACAAAACTGATTTCTTTATTTTGGGCTGCAATAAATTCTTTAACACTTAAGTTTTTTTTAAGCTGTTAAAGTAGGATATCTTGACAATGTGTCTGTAGTAATTTGTATTCATAAATTTGTGTGTGTGTGTGATTATTGTAATATGCTTCTAGTATAGCCTGGATTCAAAGGTAATAGCTGATTTTTTTTTTTTTTTCCCCCACCACCACCCAAGAATAGACTTTTGCTAAGGTAAAACTAAGTAGCTAGTCTAATACTGGAGTTACTAGCCTTAGATCTCAACCCAAGAAGAAGTACACTTGTATCAAAATGTTATTTTGCAAAAACTGACAAAAATCAGAGGGGTATTGTTTTTATCCCATTATCAGATTTTTACTACTATTGCATGTTTGCAGTCTGGAGGAAAAAAAAAAAAAAAAACCAAACCCAAAAAACTAGAGCACTGACCTCTTAAGTGACATCTGAAGGGTTTTTTTCCATCATTGTTTGCATTTACAGCATAAACGTTTAACTTCTGGCTGTCATGGTAAATTCATCTTAAGTGCTTTTTTTTGCAGTACTAGTGTGATGTAAATATTGCGCCTTACTCACTAGGCTGCATATTTTATAGTTGGCTATCTACTTGCTGTATCTGTAGTGGGAAAGTGCAAATCATAATTTTCAATTTGCCAAGTCATTGCCTTTGTTGTAAATAAGCAATTAAAGAGTTTATTTGAACTGTTCACCTTCTTTGAATTTGTTTTACTGCTACAGTAATTTAAGAGTGTAAAGGACACATGAATACACCTGTCCCCTTCACGGAAGAAGAGGTTCTTCAGTGTAATTAGTACAAGAGTTTGTGCTTTTGGTATTTTAAGGTTTGTACTGAAAAGGGAATTCTTGTTTGAGCTTATGAAGAATCAAAATCTACTCACTTATGCTTGACTCCAGGTATCTTTTTATCTATGTAATAGCCCTGTTCCAAAATGCAACAACCTGTAAAAGCTCAAACAGCTGGGGACTTCTGTGCCCACTTTAGCCACTATTAGAAATAATCTGATTTCCTGCATGTATACAGGTAGAAGGGGGCATTGGTAAAAATTATATCTGAAGGATCAGAACCGCTGGAAGCCAAGTAGCTACTGTGGTCTACCTTTTCAAATACCTCACACTGAAGAGGTGGTTGGTTTGGTTTTTTTAATACTTGAAGTTATATCTGGTGTAAAAGTTGGGTAAAGTGCAGAGAGGGACTTTAGTATGAAAACAGCTAGTTAAGTGTCCTGGTTGCTTTCTTCCACAGCACTTCTGGAAAGCTACTAAGTAAGTTATTGTTACTCAGTTACTTCAGTTCATGTGCACAGTATTCCTGCTTTTTTTCTGTAAGAAAAGTTATTTTTTCATTGCAGTAGCTTATAGGATCATACCTTTCCATTAAAGATTGCAACTGAATTAATAAATAGAAATCTTTCAATGACACCCACCTTGTGTTTTGAAAAGTACTACAACCATATTTCACAGCATGACCTTATCAAGTTTATATAAAGTTCATTTGCAAATAGTCCTTCAACTTTATATTAGCTGACTTGTTCCTCTATTGTTTTATGCCTAATCTTTTCCCAGCTTTTAATCAGAAGTCTTAAAGATTGCTCTTGCCTTAACACACTGCTTGAGTGTTGTTTTCCCCCCTTTAGTGTCATTGATTAAGGGTAGAATATGTTCTTAATTTTTCTTTAACTCATTTTGCTGTCTTATTAATTGTGAGAAAGCTTAATAAATATGCCTAATCACTATTATTTAACATTTTTGCTTATATGGGAGGTCTTCCAGCATAAGAAGCCTAAACACTTCTCTATAAAATGGCACTTTTGTGAAAAAAAGGTTTAGTTATGTCAGACAATAAATTAGATTTTATAGATAATGGGTTTTGTTAGGTTTTGTTAGGGTTTTTTTGTTTGATTTTAAGAAAAATTGTTTTTGATGTAGTATGAAAAGCCTCTCTCCTACTCTAACTCAATGACATTGTTATGCATTGTGGCCCTTGGATAAAGGATGATATCCAGTTACTTTATCTTCAGAAAACTTGACTTAGTCATTACCTCTGTTTTGAAATAAAAAAATAAATTTGAGAGCTTTCCACCACACTTCTAGAAGGAGCTTCTTTACAGCAATCAATCAGGTTCAGCTGCAGACTAGGACAGCCACAGCTCCAACAGTCCCTGCAGTTAAACTGAGAGCACCTATCTGAAACATTTGATCTAATGAAGAATACATAGGGATCTTGTATGCAGTGAGAGTCTAAAAAAAATTGTTCATGGATGGCTCTTTATACTGGCTCCTGTTAAGGGAAGAGCACAGAAATGTTTCTTCTTCATTGAAGAGACAGCACAGTATAAAGAAACTTAGCTACAGAAATATCTTGCTATCAGGCTTCCTCATGTCCCTGCAGAGGTAGAATCAATGCTGAGTTAGAAGCTCTTCTTAGTCTTCCTTTTGGATATAAATTTAATAGAAGGAACATGTTACCTGCATTATACCAAAATGTAATGCTGTAGGAGAGATGCAGGAGTACTGTGGTGACTGATGTAACATTTTATACAACTGTCATATAGCAAGAGGTCAGGCCCATTATAGTACCAGAAATTATTTTCTGAGGGATTCTAAAAAGTTTACTATCTTTACCTTTCACTATGCAACTTGAGTTGCTCAACAGCACTCCTTTGCAACCTTTTATACCTGCCTATGTGCAACACTAACTTGTGGTACTGCAACTGGAATGGTGTTGCAGACCCTACTACAAGGCTAACATCTCAATACGCTGAAGTAGGATGCTTTGGCAACTGAGAAGTGGAACTACAGTTTGAGAAACAAGGACTCAATCTTGAACAGCCACAGCTGTTTATTTCTGCTACAGGCAGCTGGATGGTTTTTCCTCTTGCTACAGATGATACAGTAGCAAGAGAAGTCTGTCCCACGGCTGTAGTCACTGCAATAGCTGGCAATCAGGTTTTTGCTGCAGAGAAGACGATACCTCCCGTAACTGCTTGGTACGATACCCTTGCAGTGCAAGTTTTAGTCCAACAGCAGAACCTAACTCTCTACTATTAAAATAACAAAATAGCCTTTTTGATTAGTAGACAAAATTTATACTTTAATATAAATTAACATCAGTGATGTTATGAACAGTCAATTTATGCATAGGTAATTAACCACAAATCAGTTTACACACTGTATTCTTCACCGTTTAACTGTAATGCTAATACTGCTTTTATGGTGTTGAACATCAAGCACAAGCTCATCTCCAGCCTGAACTTGGATGGGCTCATCAAGAACAACTGCAGCTTGTTTCCAGTGCGAGGACTCATCAGATGTATTCAAGCTATGGTCTTCATCTAGATGTATGTGATACCAGAAGGGAATTGCAGTGACTTGGCCAGACTTACAAATGTGTACCTAAAAATATTTAAAATTTTAGTTTCATCAGTTACACCCTTTTCAAAGAAATAATAAAGTAGTTCAAACCATTTCAGAGAGACCTGCAGACAAAGTAAATTCTGTGTTGAAATTTTCAGCCAAGGTGAGCAATTAATGAGCAGCTCTGCAGAACAGCAGTTAAGTGCACGTCTAACTTTATGTAGATGCAACTCACCTTCACTTCTCTGCTGGAGCTGTTCAACAGAGGGTTCATGAGATCCAGCCTTAAAAGCTCTGCTGGCTTGCTCAGGGGTAGACACGGTAACGTAGAGAGATCCAAATACACACGAACAGGTACCTAAGAGTATATACCATAACTTCAGGCATCAGCCACCATTAGAAAGTGAATAGTTAAAAGAATAATCATAATGGAAAAGTTTTACAGGCATTACAGTAATTTCTAGAGATATAGCCAAAATGCAAAATACACCCTTCTAATCCCTTCTGAAAAGGATCCATCACTGAAATGTGACTGTTGGGATACAAGGTGACAAAGGAGACAGTAGCAGCACCGTCACTCTTCTGTGCAGTAACACTGCATCTCTCATGACTCAGACAAAACTTTTCCCACACTAGTTCTAAAACAAGCATTACCCATTTTACTTTATCTTAAGGTCCCTGTCTGGTCACATAAACCTCTCTTGGTAACTTCAACAATATGAAAACGTTTCAGCTCTTTAGTTTTCATGCAGTTTACACCAAAACTAAACAGCTAGACAGCTGCAGGCTCTAGAACTGTGCCTGGAAGACACCCACCAACTTCATACCTTGAACTGGTTGATAAAAGGGGCTATATTAAATCCAAGCGTTGGTTCTGTTCCTTGAACAGCACTCTCCAGTAACAGAGCCTCTGACTCTACAAGCATCCCATATACCAACACATACTGTGGGAAAATCTTGCCTCCACTGTGAAGTAAACACCTGTAAAATGGGAGAGATTTGACCTCTCAAGCGTATCATTCAACAGTGATGAAAGAATATCAACTACTATGGCACGCTAGTCCTTCTTCTGAAGTCAAGTGCTCATCAGCATTTGAGTTTGATCCCATTTGACCAGACAGCTGCATTATACAAAAAAAGAAAACTTGTCACATAATACTAAAACTAAGGAACTAAAGTAATCTTTTCACAGTGTCAGTACTGGAAACTGATATTTCAAGATGAAGACAGTGGGACTTATTCATAGCACCATCATCCAATACTGAAGGACTGGCAGAAATGTTTAATAAAAACCGTAAGTCAGGAAGTATATACTGTTGGGGGGCACTGGTTAAGGAGGCAACATACCCGTATGGAAATGAAGCCTGGTGGGAATTTAAGTCACCCTTCTTTAAATGTTTAACCAAAGTTGACAGCAATACAAGACAACAGCATTTTTTCCTGAAAAAACACCTGAGCCTTGCTTGGTCTCTTGCTACAGAATATGACACTGCTGAGAACAGCAACAGGACAGAAGCTTTCATTCAGCCTAACATCAAACAATTCAATACAGATTAGTTTAGGTTTCCTTTTCCTATAGCAGGCAGCTTTTCATAGGAACTGGGTAGCTAAGTAGTGTGCTATTGGAGGTATTTTCATGCCAACAGATTTGAGTCTGCATATAGACAAAAGTCATAGTAATCTCCCATTTGTTCTTACAGCAAAAAAATCTTTCAAGTCATCCAAACATTTAATCAAAACTTTAAAAAGGTAATGAAAATAAATCACCTGGAATATTCTGCCATCACTATGCATGAAGATGAACAGAGAAGATTCCCTAGCACCACAAAAGGGGATAAACCTGTTTCACATTTACTTTTTTCCTACCCATTTCCATTGTTTTATATCTCTTCCTCTGCGTTCCTTCCCACCAGTTTTCAGATATTACAAATTCCTAGGAATATTTTGTCCATTTGTACTGTACCTGGATATTGCAGCCTTTTCCATCACTTCCTGCTGGATTAAACCTGATGTCTCTATAACATCCAAGATAATAATACTCCACAATTTGTCTGATTTGGGTCTCTGTAGCATCACACTTTCATCTTCTACGTGGCTGAGCCAAAACTCTAACGTTTCCTTAGGGAAATGGTTAGCTTCTGAAATCAGATTAAGTGCTGCCTGATGCTGTTCCTTCTCAACAGAACTGTAGGCTCTCACTGGTCCAAGTTTGCCTGCTATAACCGGCAGGATGGAGAAGCCTTCAGATACATCTAAAATGTACAAAGGATCAGGAGGAACATCGAGAGAGCTCTTGCTTTGACTCTCTTGGAAGTTCATCCCACTGCCATGTCCATCAACATCCATGGACTGCAAGTCCTTACTTGGATTTAATGACAACAGCACTTTGCCCATGGCAGCTTTAAAGCATTTGTGGTACGGTACATTGTTAAGCAGGGAGATTTCTGTGGATTCCAACACACACACTTGACCGTTGCCATCCTGTTTGCTAGTCGTCTGAAGACCAGCCAGAGCATTACATAATTCAGCCTCATTGCCCAAATTCAGTGTGTCATCTCTGTCACCGAAGTCCATTCCACACTCTGAAGTCAAAGAAGAAATCTTCTGGATCTTCAAGTAGCAGTCTTGGCAACAAACCTCCATCATCACAGCATCTCCAGTCTTCACAGAATAATCTTGGCAAAATAGCACAAGACTCATGTCAGTTACTTTACAGCAAACATCAGTCAAGCAGACATAGAGTGCTTAACAAAAAAAGCATTATCTCATTTCTTCATTAGTTATTACTAGCATGTATGAAAGAATTGTTCTACTCTGTAGCCCACAAGCTGAAATCTGCGATTGTGTGTTAACATTTGCCTTGAACTGTCCCACACTAGGCAAAATCCATTTATTCTCAAAATAAGCCTTTCTATGATAAATTGGTATTACTTTAAGTGTTCTGTCAACAGCAGAGCAGAACAAAAACATACTGGTAAAGAAACTGCTTTTGTTTTATAATGCTAAATATGAAATATTTACATTTTAATACCTCTTGTAGACAAAGAATTTGTAGTTTCATGGAAAACAATAGCTACAGTTTAGAAAGGGTGGTTTATTCAAAAGAAATTTTACTGTAACATTTATGGTGTACTGCTCAAGATGGTCTTAGGATACTCTGTGTATGTTCTAAGAAAGTAAATCCACTGATACAGACCAGAATTTCAAAACAAAAATGCTACAGTTTGACAAATAATTACCAACCGTATGAAATTCAACAGGACCAAGTGCCGGATTCTCCACCTGGGACGGGGTAACCCTAGTTATATGTACAATTTGGAGGATGAGAGGCTGGAGAACAGCCCCACAGAGAGCAAGCTGGGGGTTTGGGTGGATGGCAAATTGAGTGTAAGTCAACAGTGTGTCCTGACAGCAAAAAGGGCCAACCGCGTCCTGGGGTGCATCAAGCATAGTATAGCTAGCTGGTCAAGGGAGGCAATTGTCCAACTCTACTCTGCACTGGTGCAGCCCCACCTTGAGTACTGTGTGCAGTTCTGGGCACCTCAATGTAAGAAGGACATCAAACTATTGGAGTGCGTCCACAGCAGGGTGATCAAGACGGTAAAAGGCCTTGAGGGCAAGACTTATGAGGAGTGGCTGAGGTCACTTGGCTTGTTCAGCTTGTAGAAGAGAAGGCTGAGGGGTGACCTCACCACAGCCTACAACTTCCTCAAGGGGGGCAGTAGAGCAGGAGATGCTGATCTCCTCTCTCTGGTGACCAGCAATAGGACACAAGGAAATGGAGTGAAGCTGTATCTGGGGAAGTTCAGACTGGACATTAGGAAAAGGTTCTCCACTCAGAGGGTTGTCAGTCACTGGAACAGGCTCCCCAGGGAAGTGGTCACAGCACCAAGCCTGTCAGAGTTCAAGGAGCATCTGGAAAATGCTCTTAGTCATATGATTTAGTTTTAGGTAGTTCTGCGAGGAGCAGGCAGTTGGACTCTATGATCCTTATGGGTCCCTTCCAGCTGGAGATATTCTAAGCTCCTATGAAACATGAGCATGGAAAAATGGGTGAATGGAGAGTAGAGGCTGCTGGAAATGGCTCTGCTACTGTGTGTGTCGGGGGAACAGTATTCAAGTTGAGTCCAAAATGGTGGTGAAGGGTAGGCAGGAATGTTTAGTTTTGTTTTTGTGGCAGTACCAACTAGCTACTCCTACCTCACTTCCCCCACTTCCCTTCCACAAGTCACATCTTGACTAAGTAGAGCCAGTCAGTAGTCCCACTTTTTGGAGCTGCACCACAAGGCATTTAAATTCAGTGTAGAAAAAAATAAAATTTAATGAAAAGCATTCTCCCAGATCTTAAGTAGGTCCCATATCTGCTTCACAGCAGAGCCCCATGAACAAGACCTGTTGCAGGGACTGTGCACTATAGTCCAGAAACGTGATCAGGAACTACCTCACAGCTACTTGTTGTTCAACTTCTCCTAAACCTATTTGCTGCCACTTCCTAACCTCTGAGATAACCTAACTAGCTTAAATCAAAATGCAACCAAGTTAATGTACCGCAACAAGAAAGTCCACAGGACGTACCAAGCAGGCCCTGCACAGGATAGACTGCCTGTTCCCAGCAAGTTTCTTCACTGGGACTTGTAGACAGAAAGTGATCATCATCAAGCTGTAGTACAAACCACACCACAACAGCATCTAGTATTCCTCCTTCAGTGACTGGCAGGCTGAGCTTCCAGGGCTTTCTAGCTGCAAGGCTTTTCAGCTCCTGACCAATGTGTAAAGAGAGAAAAAATGTGAGAGTTTCTTTCCATAAATAAAAAATATTTTTTATTACACTAATTCACATAAATTTCTGCACCAAATCACAAGGGCACCCAACAGAAACCTGAAGTTAACAAGCCGCTACAATGCCAGTTATCATCATTAGTCCTCACTAGCATAGGAACTGTCTTCCCAGATACAACTACAATTATCCACAAAACCAACCTGCATCCATCAGCCATTAAAGCAAACATGCCTACATCTAAGAACGCACGTATTTAAAAACACTGAAAACTGCAAGAAAGGCTTTAGAATGGCAAGGCTTGCCTTACGAGAAGTAATAAAACCAGAGCCAGTCTTTTGGGCTGGATTCCAGTGCTTCACTTAAAACCTGTGTTTAATCAGTTCTAGAAATACTGTATGTAACCACTGGATTCGCTTGAACAGAGGTTCAGGAAAATCATTACAAAAACACTAAGTAACCATCTTTGTGGATATTTTCCCTGCTACCTGGGCTACAGGCTTTGTGTAAAAGCTCAGGCATGAACAATTTCACTACTGGGAAGAACTAAGATCTCCCCTAAAGGGGTCAGGTTATAAATTCTCCAATACTCCTAAAAAGTTTTGAATATGTAACAGGAATTTACTCGTCTTCCATGTACAATTTACTTTCCTCAGTAATTACCTTCTGCTACCAACATTGTAGCTTGTTGCTAGCCCATAGCAACAATCATTGTAGATTATTGCTACCCCATAAAAGGCCCAGCTCTAATGTCTTAGTTCTGGCATAAACCGATTAACAGGAGGTCACACAACTGACCAAAGATTCTCTGAGTCACAACCATTCTGCTCAGTAACAGTCTTTCCTAACATTTATCAGCTTCCTGATCTGCTTATGTCAACATTTGCCCTAAGTGTCAACGTTGAAACACACAGGGCAAAAGAGAAGTTCCACTCTAAAAACATGAGTAGCTCTTCACATGCTATATTTTTTTTATTTTTCCCCTCTTTATTCTCATTCTGTGTTCTCCAAGAGTTGGTCTACATCTCTTCTCACCATTGAAAGAAGGCTGAACAACGCACGTGTTAAAATTATGGGATGCTAATAATGTTCATAAGATTTCACTGTTCTTCAATAAATGTGCTTTACTGCTAGTCATTTTTTCTGTACATTCTCAACCAGAGAGGAAGAGAGTGCTAAGTTGAAGCTTTGCTGGCAGTAAGCCCCTTGAAGCAAGACAGCAAGAGCACAAGCATGCATCTGTTTCTCAGCTTCTGGGAAGTTATTGCTGTTTAAAGTGTATTTGATACTAAAAATATTCTTCCTGCTTATTCCTCAAAAGCAGCAGTCACAAGGTTCTCATCCACTGGTTCTAGTCACTGTAGTGTTACATCCCTATTTTGTGGCATGCAACACCCACTCAAAGGCAGTTATTTCAGCTGTCCCTGCTCCCTACCACACTTCCTATCCCACATTTATTCCTCACATTTGTACGCTGCATAAACCTTTTTCTATTATTTATGACAATTAGAGACTCTAACAGCTCTAGCGCACCAGGACGGCAATTTATCAACTAATGTAGTTAAAGAGACAGCAAAGAAAATAAAGCAATGATGCAGGAATAGGCAGTTAAAAAAAAAACCAAAATGATGTTATGCCACATTATATTCTCTGAATGAGAAAAAGATAACTTGCATTAAAAAAGTAAATGGGACTACAAATTGAAGGAAAAACTACAGAAAGAATGCAGTTACCAAGTTTCCTATGTCTTGATCTAGAATTTCTCAAATATTCCACACAATAACCTCTCATGAAAATTAGAAAGGGTCAGTATCTGTAATTGTTGGCAAGCGCTCTGTTCCTTTAGGGCCTGAAAGTGAGACTAAGCTTTAATTACTGGCTGCTGAGGTAAACACTCACTTCCACTCCCAGTGGCACTGATCTGCCACCAGCAAACATCCACACAGGTAGCACCAGGCTAGGTGCAAGTGTCTGCAGCTTGTAATTATAGCCACATCTCGTTCCCATGCCTGGGAGGAACTGAGCTGCTCCTAATAACAGCAGTAATAAAGTAATCATCATAACTCAGCTGCTTTTTTAAAAATTTTCACTTATTATCACTATTTCTCTGCTCTGTACTGATGTCTCTGAAGCCTCCTTACAACTCTGGTTGAGAAACACTGTTATACTGTACATTAAGCCTTTTTCTCAGTTCTGTTAATTTAGGTCTGGATAGTTAGTACAAGCAGAATAAATGCAACACCACTCTCATTCTTTGAAATACAAGTTTAGAAAATGTGTCCTTGAAATTACCTTACTAGGGCTAAGTAATTTCTAATCTGAATTTCAATCTTTCATAGGTATTTCTGCTACTGTTTGTAAATATAGCAGGGGTTTTTTTTTATTCCAATAGGAGCAGAGACAATTTTTCTTTTTTATTTTTCAGCTGTACTGATTGAACACCCAGGTACAGCCATGACAAAACAAACAAACAAACAACCCAAACAAAAAAATCCAGGTTGAAAGTAACCTGCACGCATTTGAAACCGGTATCTGCCCAGTGACAAAGTAACAACAAACAGTAACCAATGATTCCAAATAAATTAATTGCATTTCTTCCCTTTACCTTTACTTATGATATCTTAAAATTCCATGACAGGAACACTCCATTAGTCCAACTGAAACTTCAAATGGGCAGTTCTGAAATACAGTGTAAAGAGTAACACTGTTCTTTACTCTTCAAAATTATCTTTACATGTCTGCCAGCAGGCAGGGAGGGACCTCTCAGATGAAAGTAATAGTTTCTTATTGATGCTAGAAGCAGAAGCAACATTAGGTCACAGAGATATCGCTCCCAGCAGTATACTGAAGAGCCTTGTCTTATTTAATTTTTAATCTCAGGATGTCAGACAAGCCAACTAGGAAAAGCTATTGATTCAGAAACACTGCAATTTCTGGCCAAGCAGTGGCCAAGAATAATTTCATTTATATAACAGAATCTATTTTAAGCTCTGACTCAATGCTAACTCCTCACCACAGGTCAATGAGCAAGAAATACTCCAGAGATCAGATGTATCCTCTCTTTAGCATGCTCAGCTGTGAGCGGCAGAGGTCCTTGCCTTACACTTCAGGCCTATTTAGTATACGCATACAAACGTATTTTGAGCAAAATACACAAAATAATGCTACTGTATTTCAGATGCCATGTTACAGAAATACCGAAAGATACCAAAGGAGCTGAAGGGTGGAATCAAACTGGTTGAATTGGATAAGATAACTTATTTATCTCCCCTCTTTTACACTTACCTATCAACACTTAGACATTTTTACACCAAAAATACATCCTTTCTCTTTTGTCTTCAAAAGTTTCTTGAAGACTCTAACTTTAGAGGAATAAAGGAAGTCAGCTCCAGAACTGCATAAATTATTTAGGATGGGTCTATTGCATTCTTCCTTCCTTCCCATCCCTGTGGCTCCCCTCCCTGCCAACTGAGGCTGGCAGTTGTTTGATCTTATGGTGAGCTAGTTTAGTTCCCTAAACTATGCCAAACAAAAAACTCCACCTTCAAAAACTCATAACTGTCATCTGATGAATCACATCACCACACAACTAGACAAGGATTAAAACCAGCAGAGGATTTCATTGTAGCCCTGCCAACTTTGCACTTGTGAACTATTCAGAAATTGAACCCAGAAAGCAAATAAGAGATGGGGCTCTCGTTGTTCATAAATAGATTACTTATAAGGATGTAAACAAAAAATAAATCATCACCTGCAGATTGTTGAAATCAACTGTCATTACTTGACACGGTTCTGTCAGAGGTACATAGCCTCCAGGAATACGACTGAGCTTCTCAGTGGTGTAAGGTTCGACAGTTTCTTCTGAGGCAGAAGCAGAAGCGTATGTTGGACTAAAGAACTGCACAGAATTTGACAAGCGCACACCAGCAACTTCTTGCATTTCCACTCTGGGAGTAAAGGAAAAAAGGGAAGAAATGAAACTTCAAATAATTTGACCAAAAACCCCAAAGGAAGTTCTCCCCAGGCTGGCTAAGTATTTTTAAATGCACAGAATGTAAGAATAGAAAAACAATAAAACAATTCTCTAGGGTTTTTATTATGTTCAAAGCAGCTCTAAAGCACAGAAAATGCATATCACTTTCAAGAATCAGAACTGAATGCTGTCACTAGGAATTGAGAAAAAGCCCAATATGTCCTTTGTCGAAGGCTACAAACTTTTGCCCCCTGAAGTACACTCATTGAGTCTTGACAAAGAACTAGAAAGAAGGTTATACCCTATGATAATAAGAACAAATAAAGCTTTTCTGATGCTGCTGCATTAGACAGATAATGAAGGTGTTTCTTTCAGGTGAACAGAACAGTCAGAACAAAGATAGATATGCAATAGGAAAATGCATTTTTGGAGCCTCTTTGACACAAAACTTGCATTTTGCAGTACCTTTATGTATTTATCAAGCACAATCTATGCAGAATAAGGCATTTTTCATAGTTACATAGCTGCAAAGAAAGTCTCAGTATTGATTTCTTGGTGGAAAAAGGGCTTTGACAACTCAGCATATACTTATCCTCTCTTTTAAGACAGAAGATCAATCAGGTTTCTAGAAACAACCTTATACAAAAAGCTTCAAAGAAGAAAGAATGCTGTAACTGCTTTAAAACAGTTACTTACTTACACTGCTCAACTCTTAGGTTTGAGGACTTAAGATATATTCTCATTCTCTAAGAACAAGTCAGGAAGTTACAGGAGATGAATCTGGCACAAAGCTACACTTTAAATTATACCAAAAAAGTACATTTGTCTGAAGGACTTAGTGCTTCCCATTTAAGTGACAGTTATCAAGCAAATCTGCATTCTCATAGCGAGATCTAGCACTCAGAAGTTCAAATCGCAACTAGCTAAATTTCTATTTCTAGAAGTATTTTTAATTCTGAATCACTTGCTCAGGAACCTCCTCTCCCTGCAAAAGATCTCCCTACAACTAAGTATGACTAGACAGGCTGTCTAACAGTATTCTCAACCGGTACGGTCATCTCCTTGAAGATCCCAAACACAGAATTGAGTAAGTTGCCTTATGTCATAACCTGGATTCTTAGGCAAATATATTTTGACCATTACACATAGCTAAAATACAAAAATGAATCAGACTCCATCTTTGGAGCCATTCCCTAGCAATAAAAGTATGTGACATACAGAAAACAATAGTAGTAAGTACTTCACAATAAATACTAAAAAATACAGCAACATAATCAACAATTAGTCTTCTCACCTGCTCAGTGAAGTAACATACATTTTAACAACACGGGTGAAAATGTATTCTCCTTCATTTGAAATTGAATCCATGTATTATTTTAAAACAAATACTCCAACTAAAACAGAACAGCTGCTGCACAAGGAGCTGCACAATTGTGGAAGAGGTCAGCAGGTTATTATATTATCATGAACCCTTCTGGCTTCAATACATAAGCACAGAAGTAGAGCCACTTTATTGCCTCTCTTTGAGGCCTAACTGACTAAAAATTAAACATTAAAAAAAAAACCTGAAACCTGTAATTCTTACAGTGAATTGAATTAGTAAAGAAACCCATATTCTGGCATATTTTACTCAAAATGACTAAATGTAGATGCATGCTGTCCTAGAATATTGTTTTACTGTTACATACAGCTCTTGAAAGATCTCTAGTTCAAACTTGGAAAACAATATGTAGTATACTCTGGTATTTTAAAAGTTTTGCGGTAGTCTAAATTTATCCTTAGTAAAACTCAAGTCTTCTCACAAGTTCGTCAGTTCTTCTGGAAATAAACAGATTTCACATGGATGTGAAACAACCACAATGACTTCAGGAGAAAATTAAAGCTAACCATAAAAAAAAAACCAACCAAAAAACAACAACAAAAAAAACCAAAACCAAAAACCACCCACACATAATACCACAGCAGACTTAGGCCCTATATTCATTCTAGGGAACACAAGCAATGGGTACAAGCAGCACCAGTTATAGCAAAGAAACATTACAATTTTCACTAAAGCATCAAGTAATAAAGCTACAAGAAGGGGTAAGACAGCACAAAACATTTGTAAAGTTGGCTTAAGTGCACCAAAAATGGGACTACAAGAAAACTAGTATGATTTATCTAGAATTTCACTATATCCTAGGTAAAAAACCCTAAAAACAATCAGAGCACAAGTAGTGCAGCATAACTTAAAATTGATAAAATAAACGGACAGAATATAAAGCAAAAGGTATCAGACACAGACAGATGACTCTGATAGGCAAGATTATCAATTGGAGTGAAAAGGAATTCTCTCCCTCAGCAAGATGAATCAGTATTTGATAACAGATTAAACACACTTTTAAATGTACTTCAGAAGAAAAAACGTCAGGTATTTGTAGATTTCTGGACTCTACATCTGTTTATAACCACAAAAAATATTAAATCATGAGGAAGAGCTCCAAGAAGAGATATACTTTCACACTGCTATTTCATTAGGCATCCGTAAATTAGTGTTTTCTTTAATCTGCAACATGATTAATCCTAAACAAAATACATAAGTCCCAAACCTCTCAGGCAGAGACTGTCTCCACACAGTGACACTGTTCTAGAAGATGAGAATAAAAATTAGTATGAAGGTAATTGATACACAGTCAGAGCTGCTCTCAGCAAATAAACCCTACTATACACTAGTTCAGAATTAGGCAAGGCACATATTCAGAGAGATAATGCTAGGTGGGGTCATTAACACTTAGGCTTTACAAAAGCCTGTCCTGATCTTCTGAAAGGGTTTGATCCAGCAGCGAAGTAGGGAGCAGATTATAGTGAGGGTAAAATAAGGATAAAGGCCAAGTGTTAATCCAAGAATCTCCAGTACAGAAATTGAGAAGCAATTTTACTATTAAGAAATTTAATTCCTTCAGTATGTGTTAAAGGTATGTATTTCAGCATAACTGAAAATCAAGAGTTTCTGATGAAGTGATCCAGAAAGTCTGAACCACAAAGCGGGTGGAGGGGAGAGGGATGAGCCTGGAAAAGGGGTGGGGAGGGTAAGAGCAGAAATCTGTTTAGTGAAACGGATAATCAGCCATTCAGAAAATAAAGAGAACAGTAAATTAAAAATCCCCAATAAAACCCACTGGTCTCTCTTCCCAGATAACAAATACATGTTCCAACTGGGCTATAGTTTAAACATACCTGTGATGTCTACGTATCTCTTTGCATTCCACTGCCATCCCAAAAATTGTAGCACTTGCAGGAATAACTCTGCCACAGTCTCCAGTACTGACATCTTGATTTTTAGGCTGTGAAAACATGAATAACAGCATGCAATGAGACAGTGACCTATTTCTACCATCACTGCAAAGCCTAGGTTACATATTAATGAGCCATTCAAGATTACAGTCAAAAAATCAGTTAAGTTCTTCGTGACTATAAAGTTTCTGGTCTTTGTCATTCCAGTCGACCACTAAATGAGTTTCTTAAATACTGTGTTTCAAGATACCCACACATCAGCTCTACTTTGCAGTCTACAACTTCCTCTGTGCAATTCTGAAAGTGTTTTTAAATTTGTATTATGTTAGAATACATTGAAACACTTAAGGATCTTTCCTTTATTGCATCATTCCTAGACTTGACACTAGAGGTCACCAGCTCAATACAATATAAAAGCTTCCAGCCAAATAAGACTTCTTTTTAAATTAGTTGTAATCAAGGCAACATCAAAATAAAAGAGAAGTCCTTCTATTTCATAAGACCTAACAGAGGTTTACCCATATAAGACTCCTTGCCATATTACTTTGCTTAATGTATGCTAGCTAAAATGCAAAATACATGAAGTAAAATCCGAGATCCAGTGGAATTGTTTAGTCTTCCAAAAATATTTAGTTAGCAAAAATAAAGAGCATAAGCATAGAGCATATTTACCAAATTATAATTGACTGTTTCCTAGTGTTATGATGAGAAATAACTCTACCATAATTCAGCATTTTCTGCTTAGATTGACATGCTTTCTAGTACTAGTTGATGTCTCAAAATGACCAGGTTGTAATCAAATTTGCAGGAAAATAGTGCTTTTAAAACACACGCAAACCCCTTTGGTGTTACTTACAAAGAGGAGGAAAAAAAAGAAGGGGAAAAAAAAGGAATGAACAGTGATCAAGAGTGAACCATGACTTAATGATGGAAGGTTACATTAGGGAAAAATGCATTGCAAGTACCTGTCTACTCAGAACATGAGCTCACAGAATTACAACATATGCAGCTGCCTCGTTGCCTTTCATAAAAATCAAATTCATAAACAAACCCAGATCACTAATTTTTAAAGTATTAAATATTTACAAGACAGTTGTTCCTTACGTATGTCTGAATTTGTATACATGCACAAACACATATATATGCATTAATATATATCAAACAAAACATGAATCCCATTTATATATATGTACCCAAATCACCTACCTTTGGTTCTAATAATAGATGTTCCCAGGCATGTATCAAGCTTTCCACAATTCCTTCGCCAAATAAACCAGCATCAACCGTTTCTGTGACAACCAAGGAAACTCTAGATAAGAAAAAGAACACCATGAAATATAATGTATAACACACATTCCTGTAAACAATCATTCTTTTAAAGAAAAAAGAAACCACCATACCAATGTGAGCTCAGAGCAAAACTTTTACCAGTGTTCTGAAGTTTCAATACAGACGGGCAATTTAATTCTTCCAACAAATTATGTGTTTTGTTGTTAGAAGTTATTCAAGATACAGATAAATGAGAATAAATATTGAGCAAGAGTTTACCATAAAGCTTCTTGTTCAGCATTTATAAATTGTGTGGGAAGAACCTAGCCAAAACAGGAAGATGTTTCAGCCTGGGCACACAGCCAATGATACTACAGGATACGGATTTTGTCTGAATCTTGTGCAAGAGTATGCATCTGTGCACGGGTGTTAAAAAGAAATTAAAAAAACCAAACCAAACACCAAAATTATAAACAAAGCACAACAAAATTACTACACAGACTAACGGATCCTAAAATCCTAGTCCTTTGGATTTAAACTAAAAAAGGTATGGCATGATAAGACAAGACATTTCCACAAGAGTAACAATTTATTCCTGGCAGGTGACATCCAGTAACTCATCATATACATGAAGCAGATGCATCTGATTGGTTACTATAGCTGAGCTGACACAATTACACACAGCTTGACTGACATGCTGAACCATGGGAGCTACATCATTTCAGATCATGAGCCTATACCATCACCAGACACTTTATTAAATGTTACTAATTAAAAGTAAAATGGATTATTTCCTGCCCACATTTAAACTGCATGCCTAGTAGCGGTGAGCTGAAGTGATAAACCAGTCCTTTGCATATACCACAAAAACAAAAAATCCCCTCAGATTTCTACCTACTAAAAATTTACAGAT